CACAGCTCCCGTCCAGGGCCGGAGCTGGAAGGTTTGCATCCTTCCAGCCTCCCCCCACTCTCCAGAAACATCTCCCAGGAAGGGGGTGGGCCTCTCGGTTATCTTGCCTCTGGGAGCCTGGAGGCTGCCTCTCTGCAGCTGGGGAGGACCACCCCCTGTTGCATGCCGGAGGGGGGCTGGGTGCAGAAATCAAGACTCAGAAACCCCACCGTGAGCAGCGGAGTGAGATCCGAGTCTCGGTCTCATTTTTTTGTGTTTGTTTTGTTCGGTTTTGCTTTTTAGCTCTTAAGCCTGTGTTCTTTCGAACACATCCCTGTGGCCGATTGCTCTTCCTTGACTATGATCTCATGGAAGGCGAGGGCAATTTCTGATAACTACCTGTGTAACATCTAACAGAGGTGACGGATGTTAACCCTGAATACATCGCCTGGGGGGGGTGACTGCTGTTAATAATACCTGTGTAGGCCAGGAGCATTTGTCACTAAAGGGGCCAGCTATCCTGCCGGCTGCACTGGGAAACTATCGCGCTATAGTTGCAAGGACCTCAGCAAACTGAGCTAGACGTCATCACCTCCATGGGGCTGGGGAGTGGATGGGCAGGTGAGCTAACAGGTGGCCAGGTGGCAGGTATGGCTAACAGCCCTGCCTTGACTTTGGCCATGAGCTACTGCAGGATCCCCAGGAAGGTTTCTCTGGATGCCAGAACTTAAAAATAGATCCACGAACCAAACAGAGCTTAAGAATGTGTTTTTATGTATATTTGTATGTATGCGTGTAATCTGTCAAAACATAAAATTTGTGTATAGTTTATCACCTCTGAGCCTTAAAACACATGAACAGATCTTTCTCCCTCCACAGAATATATTGTTCCCGTGACTGGAAGTCATGTGTGACATGGTTTTAGCTGTCAGGTTTTTACATCAACGACAAGAAAGGAAGGAGACATGGGGGGGGAGAGGAGTGAGATGGAAAGGTCAGAGGAAAGGACAGTGAAGACTGAAAGGAGGCAGGAGGAACACTAACCCTTGGTAAAAACAATAGCAGACCTTCTCCTTACTGTTACTTAATGTTATTTTATTTGATCATAAAGGCTTAAAGACAATCATATGGGATAGGGTTTATAGTTTCTACTGCATAAGTAACATGTGAAAAAGGTGGCCCAGAGAGGTTAGGTAACTTGCTTGAAGTCACACAAGATTTGATGAGCCTAATCAAACAGTCCACCTACAACTATGGCCCTTATCTGACTCATTGTGTCCCCAAACCCTCCTTCATCAGCCCTGTAGTCCTGTATCAGCTTCAAGTTTACTCACTGTGTGATCTCCAACTTCCCAGCCTCCCCTATGGACCCTCGGTTTACACATCTGTAAACGGGACTTGACAATACTTGGAACAGTATAGCGTACAATTAGCGGTAAAGGCTGGGGGTCAGAAAGACGTCTTTATAATCTCAGGCTGCTACATATAAACTGGGCGATCTTGGACAAACAACTGAATCTCTCTGAATCACAATATTCACAATATTCTCATATCCATAAAACGGGGTCAATAACATCCTCTGCCCTAACGGGACATTTTATCCAAAGGAAGCAGGTGAGTAGCAGGCCCACAAAGGAACTGTAATCCGTATCCATCCTGGACTGTTCCAGGCTCCTGCACTGCTCCATCCCTGCAGAGCTGGGCCCCACATCCGGGCTTCCTTCACCAGGGACAAGCAAACAGGAGAGCAGGAGCTGTCGCTGGAGAGGTGAGCTGGGCCAGAGTGTCCGGTCACTGAGGCTGCACACCTGAGGCAAGCCCAGGCTCTGGTGGGAGAGAAAACGCTGCAGGGCAAGCAGGGAGCAGAGGAGGGAGGGAAAGGGCTGTGAATTTTTAAAAAGCAAGTTCAGAAGAGGTCAGGGCTTCAGGGGTGGCAAGCGGAGGCCCTGCTGGCCTCAGAGGCGACCCAGTGCCAAACTCGATTTGGACTATGCTGGAGAAGTAGCAGCAAGTTCCAGAGATAAAAATGCCAGTCTGTGAGCTGGGTTGGTTTCTGCGAGGCTGCAAGCAGCACAGGTCTCCGGGTGACGGTGTTACCTCATCAGTCTGAGGATCTCACTAAGCTCCAGGCAGAAAGTGGGAAAGAGGCAGGAGAAGGAAGGCGGGTCCCATCCCTTCTGAAATCTTCCCTATTAGAAGTCTGTCTAGGGCAGGATCAGCCCACTCAGCTCTTGTTCTGTTCTTGATTGTGAGTCTCAGATCCCCCAAGGAGACAAGGGGACGGGTATGTGACATCAGGAGCAGAGTGCCGTGATGGGGAATCCAGGAGTCAGGGGCACAGGCCAGCATGGGAATCTTGGCTGCCCTGCCTCCTGCTGGCTGTTTGCAGCAAGCTGGCCAAGGCGTTCTACTTCCTTGGGCTGCAGTAGGCTCACCTATAAAATGTGCTGATTGTTCCAAACGTGTCAGGTTATGTTAATGATTAAACAAGACAAGAAAAGGTCTGGCACCACAAAAGTCAACAAATACCAGCCTCATTATTTCAGCCTCTCTATTCCTCTATCTCAAACCAAATCGTTATGCACATGCACACCCTTGCTTAAAACCCTTCCCTGGCTCCCTCAGGCTCTCAGAAAAATGTCCAGGTCCCTAGCCTGGCACCCAAGGCCCTTCACGACTGCTTCCTTCTCATGCCTCAGCCCCACACAAGTCCCCCTACACCTGGCCCACTGAGCAATCAGCATCTGCCAAAGTGATGCTCTGAGCTCCTCCCCACTAGCTGCTTCCTCAGCCCAGAGCCTCCATCACTCACTCCCTGTGGGGGTTTGAATTCACATCCACCCAGAACCTCAGAATGTGATCGTATTTGGAAATAGGATCTTTGCCGTTGTCACTGGTTAAAATGCAGTCACAATGGATTGGGTGGGCCCCACATCCAGTGACCGATGTCTTGTAAGAAGAGGAAAGGACACATACACACACACACACACACACACACGGGGCCATGTGAAGATAGAGACAGGATGGGAGCATCGCATCTACAAGCCAAGGGACGCCAAGGACTGCTGGCAACCATCGGAGGCTGCCAGGAGGCATGGGGCAGATTTTCCCTTGGAGCTTCCAGAATGAATGAGCCCGGGTGACGTCTTGACTTTGGACATCTGGCCTCCTGATTATGACAGAGCAAATTTCTCCTGTTTTAAGCCCCCCAATTAGTGGTAATCTGTTACGGCAGCCTGGTAACTAATACACAGCCTTCCCCTTCACCTGCTCATCTCTACTCACCTGGCCAGCCCAGCCTGGAGAGCACGTCCTCCTGGGGGATGTCTCCGCCTCTTGAAGTCAGAGCAGGGCTGTCCCCTCCTCTGAAACTCCCATGGTTGCCGATCACCTGGCTCCATCCAGTCTTCTGGTTGACCATCTGCCCACACTAGGCCCTGGGCTGCCACTGGCCCTACCAGTTACCCAGCCTTGGATGCAATACTTGGCCCAAAGAAGGTGCTTAATAAACACCCAGAAGCCTGAACTCCTGCGCCTATGTGCCAGCGGCACGTAGTCCCCGCATCAGCTCTGATCGCAGCCTCCGCAGGGCACCTGATCAGACCCTGCGTGGCCCCTCTGCCATTATCCGGGTGTGAGGGCCTCCAGCTGGTCTGCTTACATACAACAGCAAACACTGCAAACTACAGAGAGGCGAAAAATAAAAAGCGCCCCCAAACCACCCCACCAAGGGAGCCTTCTGAAAGGCAGAACCACATCCAGCCTGGGCTCATTTTAATCTATTTTCCATGTTAAAATATCCAGGCATGGGAGAAGGAGCCAGAGAAAGGAGAGAGGGATCATGTGAGGAATGCTTTATTTGACAATGTGTCATTTGGAAACTGATTATTTCTGTCTCTGGCCTTTTTAATATTCCTTCACAACGGCCAAGCTGCAAGGGGATTTGGTATTCTAAGACGGGATTTATAACGCTCTGTGCAGCAGTGATAAGAACACGGGCCTTTAATCCTCAGAGCT